GCCGAACCACCTAAACAACCCGCTGACCCAGCTGCCGAACCACCTAAACAACCCGCTGACCCAGCTGCCGAACCACCAAAACAACCCGCGGATCCTGCTGTCGAACCACCAAAACAACCCGCCTAACCGCCAAAACAACCTGCTGCCGAACCACCAAAACAAATCTGAGGATCACACGCGTGTATAGAAAAAATTTGTTCATGATGTATTAATAGTGAATAATAATGTATACTATTTTTATTTATAAAAATGATCGAATATTTATTAGAACATTTTTTCATCTTTATAATTCCGAATTAATTATATATAATTCTGTGAATTATATAACATATTAAAAGAACATCCTTCCCTCTCTTTTTACTCATTTCTATAATAATAGCATTAAAATTTTTTTTAAGCATTTTTCTTTTTTTAATAAATTTCAAAAAGAATTATCTAAAAAAATAAAAATAATAATAATAATAATATATACATATATATAAAATTATAAATCAAATAAATATAGAAAGAATGCTTAAAAGCTTTGTAATTTTTTTTTGCAGTTTATAAATAATCTTTAAGCCACCGATTTTACTTCACTGAACATGTAGACTATTTGTTATGAAAAATCATAGTATACATACCATTAATAAAAAAAAAAAAGAAAAGGATCATACTATACATACATTCGAAACCATATTATACAGAAAAAAAAAATTTTTTTTTTTGGTTCAACAAATTTTTTTTTTTTATTACCTAATCATATCATTTATATGTCAGCATGGTATTGACAACCTTTGAATTGCATCCCCCGTGTTCTATGATGGCCAATCAAATAATTTACCTCATTTAAAAACATTTTCTAAAACAATTTTACATTCACGTATTAAAATTAGAGCTTCTAATAGGTCAAGTCAATATCAAATTAATAACTTAAAGGTTCATCAAATTTAAAAAAGAATTTAAAATCGATCCAAAAAAGCAAACTGTACCATCATATAAATTTAATAAATATATAAATATCATCCCGTGATCTCAATGGATTAACGGAAACGCGGTTAGTTTCAACCAGGGGGGCGTCACCTAAAAAAGCAATGGCTTATAACCTTCCCGTTTACCCACCGCAACTTTTTAAATGAGAACTCGGACTATCATAATGCAACATTTAGGACTATATAGTGAAGAACGTCCAAACACTTTTAAAAAAGCAATACGTTTATTTCAAAAGATAATATGCTTGGAAACAAAACGAAGTGTTCGAATATTGAAACGATATTTCTTTGTATTGTTAGCGTTTTGTTTCATACTTTTTCTAATTTGTCCTTTATTTCACATGTATAATGTGTATGTAAAATATAAATTTAGGAATCATCTTTATAATAATGGTCTGCTGCCTTGTTCATTAAGAAAAGAACCAATTTTATATATCATCGATACACAAAATGTAATGGTGGTGTGGGAAGCTAACTGCGTATTAAAGAACGTTAGAATCCAATGGTACAAAAAATCAATCGTCAACGAAACCATAGAGATCAACACGTCAGATATTCTGAAACCATCAAATATAGATGACTCGCATCATGTATATAAAGGCATAATAGGACCACTTACGTCAGTTGGAAATTACGTGTATGAGATAGTACACGGTCAAAGGAAACAAATAATTTCTTCTCATTCCTTTCAATTCTTTCCTTCCGTTCCTGATGGTACCAAATTAACCTATCCAATTCAAATCGTTGCATTTGCAGACAATCAATTTGGATCATACGTCTTTGATCGTCTTGCTCGATTAGCGTCACGACGACATTCCCCAAATTTTATTATACACGCAGGTGATGTTGTGCAAGAATTTGACAATTTACAGCAGTGGCAGACGGATTTTTATGATCCTTTGACAAGTTATAATTTAGCGCAACACGCCCCAATAATTTACGCTCAAGGTAATCATGACTTTGATCCAAAGAAATCAAGCATGTACACGACAGGTGCACTTTGGTACTCGTTTACGATCGCGAATACTCGATGGATCGTGTTGGATAGTAATATCGATGATGAGAGACAAGATTTATGGTTATCTCGTGAACTTACTTCCCCGGAAACTCAAAATGCGAGTTTTAAGATTGTGGTAGTACATATTCCTCCTTTTATGGAATTTTGGGAACCTGTCGCTTGGCATGAAAAAAATGAAAAGCATTGGGGTGAATTTGTTCGAACAAGGTTCGAACCTTTATTTCGTAAACATGGTGTAGATCTCGTCATTAGTGGTCATCAACATAATTATCAACGTGGTCAATCGGATGAAACCGTTTACACCATAATTGGAGGTGCAGGTGGTAAATTAGATTTTGTTAGAGTGGAAGATTGGTCTTTTTATAATGTCTTGAGGCAAACGCATCATTATATTTTCATGGAAATTTGGTCAGATAAGATAATATGGAAGGCATTTGACCTTGAAGGTTATATAATCGATAAATTTGAATTAGGAAAAAAATACCGTATTCTCTCAGAAGAATAATAAAATAATAAATATTTATTTAATTATAAAAAAACCTCCGCCAATTATTTATGTAATGCCTGTATGTTTACGTAATAAATCATTCTAAATCGAGGTAGATCCACCTAATAATTCTTTGCAAGAAAATCTTACAAGAAATTTATTTAAATTTATTAATCATGTCTTATCCAACGCTTTACAAAACAATCACAAAAAGTCGTTTCCTCTACAGTCTTTTGAAACCAGTTGCTAACTGGTACACAAATATTGCAGGATATAGACAACTTGGTATGTGCTACGAGAGGCATTATTGTCACCCATTCGAGAATTCATGTTTACTAAATGATTTGGTTTAAAAGGATTGAGATATGATGATGTTATAGCTGAAGAAAGTACAACAGTGCAGGAAGCATTAAAGCGTGTCCCTCGAGATGAATATGATCAAAGAACTTTACGACTTCGTAATGCTTTCCAACTTAGTATAAGAAACGAAATTTTGCCCAAAGATAAATGGATTAAGCCTGTTGACGTAAGTTTTCGGGGAGATAATATTTATGTCATTGAGAACATAATCTTTTCTCTCTCTTTTTTTTTTAAAAAAAATCGTATCGAATCGGAATTATGATTGAAAATTAAGAATTAAAGATTTATAACACGACGTAATTTTTATTATAGGATGTCAGATATCTCAAACCATATGTTGATCAGGTAGCTTTTGAAGAAGCTGAACGAGAGGCATTTGATGCAGCTAAAGTCATACGCAAGAAATAAGATTAGCAAATCGTAAAGTAAATTCTAATTTCTGTTATGATTTTTTTTTTTATAATTATTATTGATTTATCATTCACTCTTCTTACTTTATCATTTATCATTTTAATTTAATAAGAGAAAGTTAAGTAAATTCAACTTTTTCCAATAAGAATAATGTTCTTTCATTTCTTTTATTTTATTTTTTTTATTTTTTATTTTTTTTTAATGGCAAGTTGTAAAAAAAAAAAAAAAAGGAAAAGAAAAAAAGAAAGACAGTTGAATACAAATTTATTTAATAATATTCATTTTTTGTTAAATTTTATAAAAATGGTTAATAAAAATTTTTTCCCACTTATGATAATAATGGTAAACAACAAAAGAATGGGTTAAAAGAGTTGCAGTATAAGCAATTATTACAAGGGAAAAAAAAAATTCTGTTACGATATATTTTTGTTTAACAGCAAACCATCACAGTGGCGCTTGAGAAAGAATTATATGCTTTTTCGTTGATGAGATGAAATTTCCTTAATCACTTCGCTTGAATTAATATTCTCGCTTGATCACCCAATAAATAATCACAACCATTTGAAGAGATCTCTTACACTTAATTTATTCACTGATAAAATTAACTGCTAAAGAGCATACATAAGATACCGGAAATGATCAACCCTTTTTTGTTTTTTGGTTTTTAACATATCTCATTACGGAACCTTAAATTTTAATAATAAAATAACTTCTACAGTTTAGATCCTAAAAATATCGCTAAATTTGATTGGCGCCGAACTTAAATTATTGGAAACTTCATTGTACCCGCTTCAGCACTCAAATTAATATTAAATAATCGAAAATTATAGCAAAAAGTTGTAATAAATATTTTAGCAACAAAAAAAAAAAAAAATAGTATAAATAAATATTAAGGTTCCTCTTTTGGGATGATTGTATTTCTATATTGTCTGATGTTTTCGCCTTCAAACTTCCTAACCTTTCCACCTTCACAAACCCAAATTTCCGTACTAATAGAATCTATGAATCTTTCATCGTGGGAAACAAGAATCACACCACCTTTAAATTCTCTAAGAGCGTTTGTCAATGCATCAATTGAATCCATATCAAGATGATTGGTAGGCTGTTTACAAGAAAATATAATATTAATATATACATGTTTATTAAATAAATTATAGGAATTATATTAATTACCTCATCAAGGATCAATATATGTGGATTTTGTAAACCTAAGCACGCGAAGGTAACTCTACTTTTTTGACCCCCGGACAGTGTTTCTAATGACTGTAATCCAGTCATTCCCGTAATACCAAAGTTTCCTAATTGCCTACGATACTCTTCTTCGCTTCTACCAGGAAATTTCTGTGCCATAAAACCTGTAGGACTTGTATTAAGATCCAACTGGTCCACATGATGCTGCATAAAATGCGCAAATCTAAGACGTCCGTGTCGATGCATTTGGCCAGTTTTCGGTTCAAGTATACCTGTTAATAACTTGAGTAGTGTCGATTTACCTGCACCATTAGGGCCTATAAACAATTTCAAATATGACAATCACTTAATATTAAATTAAAAAAAAAATTAATGAATATAACGAAACAAAGCAAAGCTAACCAACAACTGCAATTCGAGAATCCAATTGAACGGAAAGATTAACATCTGTAATAATGTTATCTCCCGTTTCATATCTAAAGCTAACATCGCTTAACTGAAGAATAGGTGGACTTAATGGATCTGGATTAGGAAACCTTGACAGAACAAATCAAACTTCGTTAATCATTACTGTGAATCTTTAGGTTAGATCGAATTTATTGATAATTACCTGAAAGTTACAGTAGCTTCTATTTCTGGTGGTTCCAAAACTGGAAGTTTTTCCAAAACTTTAATCTTACTTTGAGCCTGAGGTGCCCTTTTTGCATTATATCTCCAACGATCAATGAAATCTTGTAAATGTTGTCTAAATTGCATTTGGCTTTCATATTCACGTTGATGATTCTTACGACGCTCTTCTTTAGTAGAATAGAACTGCGTGAAATTACCCTTGTAATAATCAAGTCGCTCTGAATGTTGATGTAAAATGTCTGTCGCGACTTCATCAAGAAATTCTAAAATCAAAAAGGTTCTAGTTCAATTGATGAATAAATGTAATTGAAATATTAATCATTTTGTCTCGTAATTGAATACCTCGATCGTGAGAAACAACAAGAAGACTACTTGGCCATTTTTTTAAGTATTGTTCTAACCACGCAACTGCAGGGATCTTTAAAGGAAATTGCGTAATCAAATTTAATATAAATGTGTAATATATAAAAAAAGATATATATAATTTAAATAGTTCTTACATCCAACATATTTGTCGGTTCGTCCAGTAATAATAAATCAGGACGACAAAACAAAGCTCTAGCTAACGCAAGACGCATACGCCAACCCCCAGAAAATGTCCTTGTGGCATTTCGATGTTTATCTGCTGGAAATCCCAGCCCAGACAAAATTTCTGCAGCACTTTTAATATATAAATTGATTTAATAATAAAATACCATTCTCATACATAGAATTTTGGAATGTTCACTGTTCAAAAAAAAAATTTACCGAGACTCAGCCTTATCACTCTCGATATCTTCTAATTTTTGATATACTTCTTTAAGTTTTGAATTTAAAGAATTTTTCATCTCCTCAATCGAATTCGGATCAATATCAGGATCAGTTGAAGTCTCAAGCTGACCGATTTGTTCATTTAATGATATCTCCTCATTTAACAAATGTTCTCTCCAAACATCTGCACTTAATACAGCTTGAATAGCCTCTCTATCATCACCAATCATCTACAATTATAATAAGTTGACCCAAAACCCAAAAATTAATTCAACGATTCTAAACTTGTAATTTCAAAACGTCTAGATGATGATATGATCTTTTACCTCTTGTTCAACATGCAAAATACTAATATGAGTTGGTACAGCTATCTCTCTTTTTGACATAGTTCTTAGCAAAGTTGATTTCCCAATACCATTTCTTCCAACTAAACCATAACGTCTACCATATACCAACGTTAAGTTGGCATTTGTGAGAATTCTTTTACCACCAAAGGAAATATCAAAATTTTCAATCTTAACATCTTTAACCTTTCCTTTTGTTGACGTATAATCAAGAATTGGATTTACTTGCATATAAAACTCATTATCTGCATTTTTATTAATCAATTTACTGGCCTCATAATTAGTTCTACGTTCGCGTTTCTCTATTTTAGCTTTGAGCTTTGCTTCAGCTTTTTCTAATTTTTTAGTATCTACTCTAGTATTAACTTTTCTACCACTCACAGCTTCCAGATCTACACTTGAAGACACTAAACGTGCAGTTGCAGAGATGGAATTGTGTGAGAGCATGTTAACTGGTTGTTTCAATTTGGCAAGCACATTATTATTTGGTTGATCATTTTCATTTTTGATAAGAAGGTTGGATAACTTTTCACAAAGTTGTTGAATTCTTTTTTCGTCGCCACATGCATCAAGTAAAATGGGTTGAATAAAATCGCCGATCGCATCTTCTCCGTCTACCACTGAAGGAGCTTCATCTAAATAACCAAGTACATATTCTACGATCGCGTCGTCAACATCAGGAATTGACTGTCGTATAAGTTGAGATACTTTTGTTAGAGCTGTTTCGGCGACCATAACCATGAAATAAAACTATACTACCAAAATCAGAACTAGAAAATCCAAAATAATTTTTTAGACGATTCATCTGATTCTAGAATTTCTAGAAAACTTTTAAAATTAGATTTACTATAAATGGCCTAATGCGTATCACTTGGAGGCAAGCTTCCTTATCTGGAAAAATAATTTTTTATCCTTTTTTATTTTTTCCAACTCTTTTTTGTAAAATGTCTGAAAGAGTAATTAATTTCATTCATATCTTTACGTTTATAATATTTTTTAATATTTATTTATTTATCTTATCTTATTTTGCCTTTTTTAAAGGGTAGAGGCAGAGGAGCAGCACGTGGTTCAAGAGGAAGTAGTAGAGGAAGAGGTGGAAGCACGTTTGGGCAGGATACAAAACCTAAAAAGGAATCAATACTTGATCTTTCAAAATATATGGACAAAAAAATACGCGTCAAATTTAATGGAGGGCGCGAAGGTATATTTAAAATTTAAATCTTTATAAAATTATTTATTATTTTTGCAAAATTATCCACATCAATCCAAATAATAGTAATAGGGTCATTGAAAGGATATGATCCGTTATTGAATTTAGTTCTTGATGACACTGAGGAATTTCTTAGAGGTAAGAATTGTCTTTATTTAATATATATATATATTTTTTTTATATTATGTTCATTATCAAATCAATTATAATTAGATCCTGAGGATAATCGATTATTAAATGAGGCTAGGTCGCTCGGATTAATTGTTTGTCGTGGACCAGCTGTAATATTAATATCCCCGTTGGAAGGAACAGAAGAAATCGATAATCCTTTCTTGCAACAAGAATAAATATTATCAATAAAATTTTCTTATTCACATTTCATTTGCGTAAGTTAAGTGAAAGAAGTATATAATGTTAAGCATTAAAAGTTTTCATTCATCATTATTTTTAGTTTTATTAGAATCCCCTAATCGTTTTTCTTCTTTGGCTTTCATATGCTCTTTATACTGTTCTTCGGATAGCTTTGTAATGGGTGACCATTTTATTGCGGCCAACCGATCTAAAAAACCGAGTTTTTTCTTTTCATTTTGAATATTAGAATCCTGGGACGATGTGTTGAAAGGTTGTAATTGATCTTGATTTGATGATTTAAGGATTAATCGTTGTCTGTAATTATATATGGAACTATAACATATTTGCCCTGCACCACATAAAACAGAGAATAAAACAAATCCCGACATGGTTGCTCTCGGTCCACCTTTTTCATTAATTTAAATTAATATCATTTTTCAAAATTCAAGAATTTTTGCGTGAATCTTTTAAATAACTTGCTTACGTTTTACAGCCGATAGAAATCCACCGGTTAAACCACCGGAAAGTGTACTGCTGATCAAATAATCAATATCTCTTGTCTGAGAATCTAATAATCCATAATCAGGATTTTTGCTCTTTTGAAATGATAAACAAGCATCTCTAATACCTATCGAATCAAGAATAAAAATTTATAAATTAAAAATTATTTTAAATACTTTATATTAAGTTTTGTTTTCGCTTACTAAAAAATGTTAACCCAAAAATTCCACAATTTATTCCCGTAAAGATTGTATAATGAATTATAGGTCTATTTTTTATATACGCAACTAGACTTCCTGTGGTTGCTCCTATCCCAACTTCAAAGAATCATAATAATGTAATATGTCAATTGTTTTAGTAGGAACAGTATTTTTTTTAAAAAAACGAAGAAAAAGGTATTAAATACCTGTATAAATAGTTCCTCGTAAAATTTGATCGCGTGATTTTTCATCCATAATTTGTTTTCAATAAATCTTGGAAACAAAATTTTTAGTTTTGTGAAAGTTACACGAACAATTATGCAATTAACGCATGTCACGCAAAATTCTAGTTTTTCAATTTTTTGTTAAAATTTTTCTATTTATTTTTTTTGAAAAAATTGAATTCCCATGAATGTTTATAAAGCAATTATTCTTGTTGGCGGACCTTCTCGTGGTACAAGGTTTCGACCACTTTCTCTTAATCTTAACGTTCCAAAACCGTTGTTTCCCGTAGCAGGCCACCCAATCATCTGGCATCATTTGGAAGCATTATCTAAAATTAAAGGGCTGAAAGAGGTTTTATTGATTGGTTTTTTTGAAGACTCTATCTTTCATAGGTTTATTGATGATGCAGCAAGAGAATTCCCGAAGATTAATATACGGTAATTCATTCATTCTTAATTATAATGACAACGTGTGAAATTTAAAAAAAAGAATTTGCATTTTTTTTTAGATATCTTCGAGAATATCAGTCCTTGGGAACGGCAGGTGGTCTTTATCATTTTAGAGATGAAATTCAACGAGGTGATCCGCAACAAATATTCGTACTTAATGCAGATGTTGCTTGTAGTTTTCCGTTGAAAGAAATGATGAAATTTCATAATACACATCGAGGTTTATGTACGATCTTAGGTACAAAGGTAAAGATAATATAAAAAAGAATAATATTACTTTTTTCTTTTGTTTTTTTTTTGTTATTTAATAAAGTAAAAAATATATGTATGATTTTATTGACCAGGTTGCTCGTGAAGTCGCGAATAAATATGGATGTCTTGTTGCTAAACCTGAAAGTAATGAAGTTTTACATTATGTTGAGAAACCAGAAAGTTTTATTTCTGATTTAATTAGTTGTGGTATCTATTTATTTGACTGTGCCATTTTCAATGAAATGAAAAAGGCCATGCAAAACAAAAAGAATCAAGTCGAGTATCCTTTTACTCTAAAAAGATCAGTTTAGATGAAATTATTATATATTCCTTAACATTTTTTACTTTTTACAACTTAAGTCAAGATCAATTCATGGATCATGACGATCAACTTCGATTAGAACAAGATTTACTTCGTCCATTAGCTGAATCCATGAAATTATTTGTATACGTTACAAACGACTTTTGGAGACAAATTAAGACCGCTGGGTAAATATAAAAATTTAAACTAATTTAAATTTATTAAATACTAACTCAATATATCAATATTAGTTCCGCGGTACCTGCGAACGCGTTATATCTAGAGCAATATTTGGAAACAAATCCCGAACGATTATTAAAAAAAGAATCTGATGGTCCAACGATAGTTGGATGTGTTTATAAGCATCCTACAGCATTCGTTGATCCAAGTGCAAAGGTTTGTTCCTTAAAATGTAAAAGATTATTTATTCATACAGAAAATCAATTTTATACATATTCTTTTGGGGGTTAGATTGGACCAAATGTATCGATAGGACCTCGTGCAGTTATTGGTAAAGGAGTTCGTATCAAGGATTCTATTATTCTTGATAACGCGGAGATTAAAGCGAACAGTTGTATTATAAATAGTATTATTGGGTGGGACTCAAAAATTGGAACTTGGGCTCGTGTTGAAGGAACATCAATAACAAATGATCAGATTGTCATCACACAAAATGGTGTAAAGGTTCCATCAATCACCATTCTTGGTAAGTTATCATTTTTGAAAAATTTTTTTTCTTCGAAAAAAAAAGGTAGTCGTGCTAACCTTATTCAAAATAGCCAAAGAAGTCATTGTTAGGGATGAAATAATTATTCGTAATTGCATTGTGCTACCTCACAAAGAATTGAAAACTAGTTGTCATAATGAAATTTTGATGTAAAGCCACCTTATTTCAATGAAAAAATATCTGAGGTACATTTTATTATTTTTATTATTATTGTTATATTAACAATATTTTGATTGTAATGTAATATAATTGATTATTTGATCTCATTTTATAAACCACACTCTTCTTTTTTTTTTTTTTTTACATAAATACAAATTAGATTCTAATAATGAAACTTTTAAAAGAGATACCATGTAAAATATTTTTGTATTTATTATTATTCTATGGCCAAAATTTGACTTTTTGATTGTTCAAGTAATTCATCAACATCAACTGATTCTGCATCATCTATATAGAAAACATTTTTGTAACATCTTAGTTAGTTTACAAATATTTTTAATTTTTATTTCTTTTAGCTGTTTGTCTTACCATGTAATTCGGCTTGCCTTTTTAGCAGCAAAATCTGGTCTCTATCATAGTCAATAGCAGATAATTGACATTGTTTAATTGTTGCTAAATTAATAGAAAATAATATATTTATATGTATTAATAGGAAAATCCTTTTGAATTAAATTTTAAAACCATACCTCCAAGATATAAAACGCGTAAAAGGCAATTTTTCGTCTTTATTTGTGAAATAAAAGTCATTGCACCCCAAGCAATATGATAATGATCTCTTGAAACTCTAAGTACACCAATATTTGTAAATGGAGAAAAATATTTTACTAGAACATTTAAATATATATATATAATTTTTTTTGAAACGAATAAAAAAGCTGTTTTAACGTAAAAATAATAAAACAATTGCGCTTTAAAGCTTTGCGTAACCGACTCTTACCATTGAGCGAAGCTGCAACACACCCGACACCATAATCACCAAAATTCGTTTTTATAGAATCTTTTATTGCGGAATAAACATCCTTGGAAGATAATGTTTCTACATTTTTTGTAGAGGTGGAACGTTGAAGCGTATCTTCAAATACAATTTCGAAAAGAAGCCATCGATTCTTTAAACGGACCATTATCAAATGTGAGAAAGATGGTAATCAACAATTAGATTACATGTGCCCGGTAATTATCTTTTTTTGATAAGAAAACGAAATTGCGTTGAAAGAGAAATTTTGGGTCGCTTAAATCAGTTATTATAAAATCACATGATTTAATTTTGATAATCCATGGTAACGATTTTAATAAAAAAATTTTCCGAATTTAAATTATTCATAACTGAGTTAAAATTGAGTTAATTTATAAGTAAATATTGAAAGTTGTTTAAAGTTTCAAAAGAATTAATATAATTATTTTAAAAAGAACAATTATTTTTATTTATTTTTCTTTTTAAAATAAAACAATTTTGATATTATCTTAAAATAATTTTTAAATAAAAATGATTTCTATTTATCATTTCAAATTCAATATTGCTTGATATGATAACAAATTATTCTTTTAAAATAATAAAAGATTAATTTGATAAAGATATATATTATTCAATAATATATATAAGTTTATATGTCTAATTAAATAAATATTTTTTTTTTTTGTAATTTTATGAAGATGTTTATTATCCTATTAATACTAAGCTAATTATAATTAAGCTTTTATAAAAATCTTATAATATCTATTTTCATTTTTAAAATCTTTATATAATTTATAAATTATAATATCATAAATCTAATATATAAATTTAAATTAATTCAACTAAACTTTAAAATTACTGTTAAATTTAAATAAAGGATCATTTTTAACTATACAGTCACACCTCGATATAACGAAGTTGCTGATCCAGCTGATCAGGACTTCGTTATAAGAATCTTTGTTAACGTTATAACAAATTATGTGGTATGTATAATGAATAATTCGTTATAGCATTAACGAATTATTCATTATAGTAGATGATTACTGATTTCATTACACAAATATAATTTTACTATTTCCAGAAATATT